CAAAATAATGAATAAAAGTTTATGATGATCAAACAGTAATAATCAGTATCAGATTAAACTGGTAACATATTGTGCTCATTTTTTACAGTATTAGAGGGTTTTCTAAAATACCAAATGGTTAAAGATCAAGCCCCATATCTATGGGAAATACTTTTGAACCTGTGTTTTCCTTACAGAAATCACATATAAAGTTGTGTTATTGTCATATTATATTTTTCCTTATTTACAAAAGAAGGGTTTTTTTACCTTGAAATGAACGTGATTTTTCAAGATGTGTCCTACAGATAATCTTTTGTATAAACCTATATCAAAATCAGTAGTCTTTATGAGCAAAGTATGTTTACAGAGCAAAGCTTCCTTACCATCACAAAAATTGTTAATGGCAGAGCAAATCCAAATCCTGCCTATGCCCTTTGGCCTGCCAGAACCCACATAAAGGTCTTGAAATGATGACAAAGAAAGATGGGTTGAGAAACTTCCAAGCATGAAACATCAGAAAACTAAGTTTTACCATTAAAAGTAGCAATTGTTTCTTATCTGTATACTTACCCGTACAGATGAAGCCCACTTTGTGATTAGGCAGCAGTTAGCATCAGAAGGCATTAGTCTCATATGACATCTTAGTGTCACCTGCAAAACCTTCCCACAAATATCTCTGCCTCAAGCTAATGCTCAGTCCATAAGTGATACATTGTGGAGTTAGTTTCTTTTTACAAAAGAGGATCTGCACGAATAAAACTTGCAAAAGCAGAAGCAACTCAGAAATGGATGGCATAACTTGAGTTGGATGATAATTTGCTGTCCCCACTGCCTACCTTTTCCAAAATCTTCAGCCAACAGGGAGTTGAGCTGGTAACAAATCACCTTTAAACTGGCTCCACAGCATGGGATGTCACCCTGACATGAAGTCAGCTGAATAGCTCAGTTCAACCTCAGCAGCTGTCTCAAGCTAAAATTTTTCTATTCATATATTGCATCACTTAGGCTGATTCAGAGAGTCACTGCCAATGGCTGCAATGACCTAAGGTGTTTCTATCCTCCCCTGAAGTTACTGCATCCACAGCTTTGCTGCCAGAACAAATCATCTGCAAACTCCTAAGCTATTTTATGCAAACATATGTGGATTGGCTCCAATTACACTCAATAGCACTTCGTGCTGTCGGCTGACATTGCATCGAGTGAACAGGGAAGATTTCTCATTCCTGGCTCAGCAACAAGGGCAAGAAACTTAACTGAAGTCTAGTAAACTAATAGTTTAGAAAACCAGAAACATCGAATCTACCAGAGATGACTTTGCAATAATTTTTTTCTTACTGCAGCCTAAAATGGTGCTTTAGAATTTTTAGGATAAGCAAACTGGTTTTGTTGTCCAAGAACACAGGGTTCACCAAGTTCTTCCACAAGGCCTCTTTATCAGTGGAGAAACACACATTTTCTCAAGATACCTTCCTTCTCTGAAGAATAGATTAAAAATATTTCTCTAACTTTCTGTTAGAAAAATGCTTCCCCACAGCAGAAGATGACATCTTACCTTCCTATCACATAGGAGTCCTACTACATCAAAAATAAAGATTTAAATTGTGCTGGATTTGAGTAATGTAACTGAGCATTTCTCTTCACAGATTCCATGAAGGATGTTTCTTGAGAGACCTCATAGACCACTTTTCTCCCTACACACACAGGCTAAAGAATCTGCCATTACTTTGAGCTCATGCATATCCCAGGGAATTTTTACAGCCAAAACACACCTGGCACTTAAGTTACATAAGCAACATCTGCATTATTCATCTAGAGAGATTTAAAGACTACTTATTATAGTGACATTAATTAAAAATAATAAAGAAAAGGCACATATCTGCCAAGAATGAGCTACCCACAAATGTGGTAATGTGTAAAAGGAGAATTATTATGGCATTCTCTAATAAATATGACCCATGAGCCCAGCAAATCCTGGAAATTACATTACTTTGCACTTTAAAACACCTAAGCCTCACAGTGTAGGCAGAAATAAGTTTGTTAAGAGCAGGTAAACATGAACAAAAATGTGGTTTGAAGTCAGCTAGACAGTCAGTTAAAGTTTCCCCCTTAAAAGAGGGGGGAAAAAAAAGGCTCTAGACCTTGATTTTTGTGTTCTATTTTAACTATTAATTTTGGCTTTACTGAAATTGATGGCAATATGATTTTAACCACTCTTAACAAGACAGTTGTTTCACTTTTACACTTTGTCCAAGCTCACACATGATTTTGGGAGATAATGACTTTTTATTCACAACCCTCTTTTTCCCCCTTTTTTGTTCTAAAAGGATCGAATGGGAATTTTTTTATCTCACCATGTGGTTAAGAAATATTTTTGCTTTCTCAAATTTGCCTGAAGTTGGTCAGAGGACACCTTGAGGATCTGTTCAGTGAAGTAAGGTTCCCCTGAATGACATTCCCTGTTTGGGTAGGTAGGAGGGATTTGTTGTCCATGACCAACCATCTTCCAGCTCAAACACATAATCCATTTCATCTCTGCCCCGTCTCTGACTGACTTTAAAGCTATCACATCAGTGTTAATTTAATCTTGTTTATAAGTGGTAGCAGCCCTTAATATCTATTCTGTAACAACTATTCCACAATGGCCTGCTTGCATAGGCAGTTTTATTTCACGTGGGGTGACTTTGTGTAGTTTAGTTTGGTATGAGGTGAATCAAAAAAAAGCATTTTTAAAGTAGAAAAGGTATCCACAAGCCAAGTCAGTGCAGAAGAGCTACTGCACTTTAAATTCACACCGAAGTTTATTTTACAATAGCTTCACTTAACAAGTACTTAACAAAAAAGACAAGGGGGGATGAGTGTGTGTGTGTGTACATGACTATAAAGGTTTAACAGCAAACTACAGATGACTGCTGCACCTATCTCCAGGATAACCTTTTTTGTAGAGGAATCACAGCCACTCTGTGCCAGACAAGAGAAAATGGGGTTGTACAGAGATTTTGAAATAGTATTTTATGTGTTTGGGTTAAGGGTCCTAGTGTTTTTTTCATACTTTTATCAAACACCAGGAGTTGTATTGCCATTATATTATACAATACGGGTGTAAAAATTCATGTACATGTCCAATATACAACATATCTTTTGTCTTTCCCCACTTTCCTTTCAATTATTAATAGTCATGAGATACACAACTTCTAAATGAACAGGAAGCTCTCCAGTAATACATTTCATAATATTTTCCTATTTGCTCATGTGGTGACCTGTGACATTGTTTTCTGGAAGAATTATTTTTGTAATTGTGCTGCTCTTTTCTTGCACAAGTAGGAGGCAAGTCAGTGCTCATTCTTTTGAACGCGGGCCTCCTACTCACAAGATGTACCCATTTGAAACTCCGAAGATGATTTCAACCCTGATGACTTGCTTTCAGTGCACTAAACCTGCAATCAGAGCGCCTGTCAGGAGATCAGATGATACAAGTTGGGGAAAAATGTGTATGGAAGTATAAATCCCCTTATTAACATGCCTAATTTTATCCCCTCTAGACCATTCCAGTTCCAATGATGTTATTTCAACTAATGTGAAACGTGAAGTTTTGTATATTATGGTAGAACAAATATAAATCATTCACTTAAACCTGTATTACAGTGCTATAGGTCAAGCTACAACAGAAAGGCTTTGCCTGCCTGTGAGAGGCAGAGTACAAAGTCATCAGAATCATTAGTCTGGAAGAGTTTTTCCAGGCTGAAGCAGTCACTTCAGGATCCACAGTAATTGCCACCAACGCAGTGGCCACTTCACAGACCTGTTTGTCCTTACAGCACAGTGAATCACTACAACATAGGGCGAGTACCCAGAGTAATCATGCCAGGCAGCACCAGGACCTGAGCCTCATCCCAGGAGAGCTCTGGGTTTTGCTACAACCTTTTTTTTAAGGTAAGAAACATCGTTGTCTGTATCCAAGCACAGAAATAGCACATTTATAGTAAATACATTATATTTCATACAACAGCAACTGCAGTGGAATTTTAGGAATAGCTATCAAACTCTACATCGCAGCAATGAACAAAATCTCATCCACTGGAACACGTGAGGAGCAAACACCTCCCAGTGTTACACAAAGAAACCATGCCCTCAAAAACTCTAAATGCTTTCTCCCAGTACCTCAGCTTAATAAGGCCAAGTGCCAAATCCTGCACTTGGATTGCAACAACTCCATGCAGCACTACAGGTCTGGGGAAGAGTGACTGGAAATCTGTGTGGAGGAAAAGGACCTGAGGATGCTGATTGACGGCAGAAGGAACACCAGCCAATGTGTGCCAGGTGGCCAGGGAGGCCAAAGGCATGCTGGCCTGTATCAGCAACAGTGTGGCCAGCAGCAGCGGGGCCGTGATTGACCCCCTGCCCTCAGCACTGGCAAGGCTGCCCTTGAGTCCTGTGCCCAGTTTCGGGCCCATCACCACAAAAAACACATTGAGGTACTAAAGCAAATGCAGAGGAGAGCAATGGAGGTGGGGAAGGGTGTGGAGTACAGATGTGATGAGTACCTGAGGGAGCTGGGGGAGTTTATCCTGAGGAAAAGACTTGTGGGGGGAGCGATGTAGCCAGGTGAGGATTGGTCTCTTCTCCCGAGCAGCCAGCCACAGGACAAGAGGAGATGGCCTCAAGCTATGCCAGAGGAGGTTCAGGTTGGACATTATTTAGAATTTCCTCATTGAATGGTTTATGAAGCATTAACTGGAATCTGACTGCCTGGGGAAAGGGTGGACTTGCCGCTCCCTGGAGGTGTTCAAGGAACCGTATGTGGCACTTAGTGCCATGTCTAGTTGACAATGTAGTGCTTAGTGAAGGACTCGTCTCGGTGCTGTTGGAGGCCTTTTCCACCCTCACCGAGTCTGTGCGATTCAGAGCTATCCCCCCACAGCCCCTCACACAGCCGCGGCCGGGCTCTGCCATCGCCGCTTTAAGGCGGGCCCCGCCCAGCCTTTCCATGTTTAAGCTGCGCGCGCGTGCGCGCGGGCCCGGGCGGTCTCGGGGGCGCTCGGTCGGCTCAAGGTGAGCGGGAGCCGCGGGCTCTGAGGGGACGCGGCCGTGCCGGGGGCGAACTCCGCTTCGGCCCGGGGGGAGGCTTGGGAGAGCTCCTACTCCCCTTCCCAGGAGTCGTATCCTCAGGGATTAGCACCCCCTCGCTGCAGCGCAGGCGGGGGCACAGGTGCGGGAAGAGCTGGAATCGAGCTTTACTGAGCCCCGTCTTTACTGAGCGCGTCCCGGGGCGGTGGAGGCGTTGCGGAGCCGAGCCGAGCCCACCGCAGTCCCGGAGCAGCCTGTGGGACTGAGCCCCCCGCGCTGTCTCTGCCCCTCTCGGGTTCTCTCTCCTGGGCTGCTCGCTCTGCACCTTCCGGAGCCGGGAATGACCCGTCTGCAAGGCTCTCCCACCTTTGGCAGCACTGCTTTCTAACTTCCCGGGTCTTTGGGCATACCTGGAACCTGGATAGTCTCTCTGAGGTGGCTCTCACCTGGGAGCCTGCAAACTGCATTATAGGCCTCTCAAAAAACGCACCGGGTGATGCTCCTGCCTTCCTGGGAAGATACAGTGCAAGTACTTACTTAAAAAAAAAAAAGTTCAAGATGTTGTGCCTAAAAGCTTTTAGTTATTTTTTTTGGCACCTAAATCTGAAAAAGTAAAATTTATACATAGATAGAATACAAATGTGTAGATATGAATGTGTATACTTACTGTAACTTTTGTTCTGTAGGTCAGTGAAATCTGAGAAAAAGCTGAAAGATATTAGGCTTCTTGGGAATATAAAAAAAGATGGCTGGATCAAGATCTTGCTACTATTGTCTTTCATCTGCATCTTCCTTGGAGGAAAGATTGGAGCTCGCCCTCAACTCTTATAATGTGTCAGAAAATCCACAGGAAGAAAACACTACAGGAGAGACTTCTCATCAGAGAATTCAGTGATGTGGCATGGAACATTAGGAAATCTAAATTTATTGGTTCAGTTCATGAAAGTACTTAGCTTCTCATGGCATGCATTCTTCTCTGTTCATGACAGTATTGATTCTGGCTTGCCATTAATTAACATTCATCAAATGTGGAGCTCCTTAGTGGAGCTGGTGGAAACTTTGGTGCTTAATCCATTACATTTGCTTTTCCATTTCCACTTACCTCACCTTGCCAGTTACAGTTGTCTCTTCTTTTTTTTCACCAGTCTTTCCCATCTCAGTTTGCTTCTTCAGTTTTCTTGCCCCGTTCTGTTTTGCTCTTCTCTGCTTTACTGGCCATTAAATTGCTATTCTTGCCATGTTTCTCTGTTCTTACTGATTCCTAGTTCTTCCCATCTTTCCTTCCTGTATATTCCTCATTCAGAGTCATTCTTGAAATTTCTTTCCTTGGGTTTCCTTTGAGGATCGTTGCTCCAGCCGTTTTGACATCAGTTTCAGAAGACTTCCAAATCTTATTTTGTGTTTAGATTGCCTGCCTTCTTCCTCCTTGCTGCCTGGGCCTGATACAGGACTACCTGTTTTTCCTTTTGCTTTTGAACTGGACTGTATCTGGCATGGGCTTTAATGACTTGGAAGCAGGTGACTCATTTTGGCAAGAGTATAAACAACTGAAAATTCTGCCTTATGGGCAGTTTCAGAAACAAAAAGTTCTGGGAACCAAGCCCAGGGCAAACAAACTGGTGCATTTTAGCACTGGGTATTTTATTTAACTTTTTTAAAGGAGTTGTCACATGTCTCTGAAGCAGTGGAGAAAGAAAGGCAAGGAGAGACAGAGATAAGAATAAAACTGGGCTAAAACATACTTGAGACTCCCCTGAAGATGCTGCTGTTGTGCTGCTTAATGCTCCTGATGTACTCATAGGGTGGATCAGGTGATTGGCACAGCATGATGATTTTAAAACTTGGAATTTTTACTCTATTTGATTTAAAGAGTAAAATCAACTCAGATTGGTTTTGCTTGGAAAAGCTAGAAAATAATAACTGTGTTATCTTCTAAAAAAATAGTCAAAAATGTCCTGCACACTGGCACTATGTGTGTATTGAAAAGAATTGCATATATGCTACAAATCCCCTTTATTTCACTTTAAAGAAAATCTGTTCTCTTTTTCCAAAAACTTTCCTCACTGTACAGTGCTAAAAAATGGTGCCTCTACTTATGTTCTTTAGTCACTTCTGTATTGTTTGTAATGTGAGGAAAGTTTGATTCTTATTGTGTTATGGTGTTACTGGGACTGTTTGCTTGTATAATGGTGTTGCTGACTTCCACTGTAGGTGCAGTCCTATTTAGAAGGAAATGTCCATCTGCAGTGTTGTATTTGCTGTGGCAGCTGTCATGGAATCAGTGACAATTCAGTTGCCAGTTTCACTTTTTTCCACCCACTCACAGTATTTGGAAGATCTTCAAATTGAATCAGTACATAGGCTCCTCAAACAAAAGCTGTGAAAACAAACTGGGAAATAAACAGTGGCTTTTTTCCTTCAGAATGTCAGGCATTCAAAGAAGTAGTCTAAACTTAGATTGGATAATTTTTCTACTCACATCTTTCCATGCCGCTTTGTATTGCTTTGTCTTCCTTTTAGTACGTTAATATCTTTGATTTTTTTCCTTTATATAACTGGGTTTTTTTCCTCTGTATAATCATAGAAAGCAGATATTTCAGGAGTATGTTAGTCACAATAAAAATTATCTTCATCCTCTCTTATTCAGATTGGGGTTTTGTGTTTGCATAATACACATATTTAGTCTCAGGCTAACAAAAACGGAGTCAGCAGTTTTAGCAGTGGACTGCTCTGTAAGGCATGAGCTGTACAGCAACTCTGCCTGCTCTGTGTGGTTTAAGAACAGAGGCTTAAACCCTCAGCCATGGGTATGGGTAGTACATATTGAGGAGTGATATGCCCAGATTTCATGTGAGCTGTCAGGTGCTCTTGGTTTATGTTCACTACATTTTTAACTCGTTATTTCTGCGCAGAGCAGTTTGATTAGTGGTTATAAACCACAGCTGAGTTGTAAATGTGGGCAAATAATTTACTAGAGTAGGCTTGTCCTTTTGAACTATGCTGGACGCATCTGATGGTTTATAAAATAATCGTTGTATTAGCAGAAATTCTCAGATGCTAAATCAATTCCTCTGAGGATAGCAATTGTACTGCTTGAATGTAATTTTGTTGGGCAGATGCTATCGGGAAGAATTTGGAGTTTTTTCTGAAAAATATTCTGTTAAACAAATCCAGGGTGATGTGCCCATGATCACACAGGAAGTCTATAGCTGAGTACAGTACTCAACCTAACATCTGCCAGTTTATCCTTCACCATCCATCCTCTTAGGGTTTTACATTATTTATTTTCTAGAGATTGTATCAGCTGTGTGGATAAAAAGATGGATTTTTATTTCACTTTTGAATTGTTAAGTCCTAAATTTCCAGTGCTTATTTTTGTTTATGAACAGTAAGTACTAATTTCATCCAAGTGTTGATTTTTGTTTTTCTTTTGTTGTAGACTGTTGTTCTATGTTGTGTTGTCCAAAGAACTCTGCAGGTCATGTATTTTTCCGTTATGTGATGCTGTAAAGACAAATTTGACATTCATTCCTTGTAGCTTATATTGTAGCATCCTTACGTGTTGAAATACTGGAAAGAAATTTTTAATAACTTTTCCCAAATAAGAAGCTTTTCAAGTTCAAACACAATAAAATAAACCTTGATCTGTTTCTTTAACAAGATACTTGTGTTTTGAGTCAGCTGTATGTTTTACAGGGGAGGGATGGCCAGGGATGTGCACCTTTTCTCCTAATAAATTTTAATTTTTTTTTGGCATTCCAGACTATCTATTTCTTGATGGTTTGTGAGTACTGTTATGTAAGCACTGTAGCAGTACACACAGAAGGTTCTGTATTTTGCAATGTTCAAAGAATAAAGATGTTGGATAAGTGGTGATGATGTACTCTTTCTAGGTTCATCTTTTAGATTTGCTCCAGTTTGCTGTTCATGTGAGCAAACTAAACATTATGACAAAGATATCAGCTATCATGTTTCATTCCTTAATGTCCTTTGTACATGTGGAGGTTGGTTATTTACGGCTGTTGGCTGAGAATAGTAGTCACATTTTTATTTTGTATTAGATCTGAAAGCATGTGAGGTCATGCTTTTTCTCCTGTTAAATCAGGGTAATTTTCTCAAAAATTCTCGAAGTGAGACTTTGTGTCTCACAGGTGCAAAATCACAGATTTGCAATCCTCTTTAAAGTGTTGAAATTCAATGAGAAATTTTCCTGTAGAACAGATTGAGTGATGATCTCATTTTTTTTTTTTCATCTCTCGGCACTGCTAATAGAAAGAACTGCTTTTTCTTACAAAACGTCTTACACAACAATATCTTCTTATCATGTACCTACAGACTGCTATTCTGGTGTGCCTGCCTGCCTTTTATTGAGTGGTACCTGACTTCGTGTGCAAAGCTGCCTCTGTGTCTGTTAGGTGGGAACGGGGTGTTCTCAGTCAGCACAGGAAAGCTAATCAGGCACCTCTTCCTCTGCCTCATAGGACTGGTGATGGTCTTACAAGGGGAATGGGACATTACAGATTTCCTTCTTTCCAGTAGGTGCTACTGTGACATTGTATAAAATCGGGGCTTTAGTAAGATAAACAGGGAAACTCCTTATTCACATGTTTATTTTATGCTTGAGGTTGGTCTATACGATACCTTCCTTGGGCATAGATGCTGAAGTTGGGGAGGTCTGTATTTCATCCCATTTCCAAATTACTGGATACTTTGTCTCATATTCTTATTTCAAGAAAATTTATGTTTCATGCCTTCTAACATTTTCTTTTGTAGAAATCCAGTGTGAAATTGCTGCAAAAGCAGAGATGATTATACAAAGAGTAGTGCTGAATTCACGGCCTGGTATGTATTTCTCTCCACTAAAGAAGCAATGTATTTGTTCTGATTGCCTAATGCTCCAAAATGGTGAGGGTAGGAACAGACACTAATTTGAGATAATGACATTTATATATCCTAATATTGCATGTAGCAATAAAGTTTACATAAAGTGTGTTTATTTATATGTAAATTTATTAATTTCCATTGATATAAATAAATATATTTGTAGTAAATTTATCTACATTTATTAATAAAAGTAAATTGTGTTAATACAGATATATTTCTATTAAATATATAACATATATTCAATCGAAATTTGTTTAGTCTATATATGCAGATTTCTAAACTGTTGGGTGAGAAAAAAGGGTAAATGTGTAATGTATGAGAAAACCCTAGGTGTGGGGGCTGAAAGTGAAGAAAAATTAGGGAATATGACTTTTTAGTTCTCACATTTATTCTTTTTGCATTGTAAGAGATGTCTAAAATATTTTGTTACTGTTAATTTTTGTTTCCTTGTAGTAAATACTGAATCTTTTGTTCATCTTGCGTTTCAAAGGGTTTCTTTTTAAAGTTTACACTATTGAGGTTTTCTTTGCTTTCTTGCTTACACATTTGCCTTGTTATGGATCAGCACAGTATTTTGAATAGTGAGTTCATAAATCTAGTGTAGAAGACATTAAGTTTTGGAGGGGGTATGGTATGCTGCTTAATGCTAAAATAGTTACAAGAGTTAAGAACTATTTTGTGACATGCAATTAAGTCTCAAATAGCTGGAGCCTGCTCCAGCTGTGAATTCACTCTGACTCAAAATAGGTAAAGCTGTCTGGCTGTCTCAGAGCTGGTGGTTCCAGTTGTCTGATTACTCTGCTGCATGTGGTACCAACCTGAGGATGAAGCCTCCAGTTCTGGGGTTCTTGCCACAGTTCTATGGATGTTTCTGGGTAGCTTTAATGTCAGGAAGTCTCTGTGAAGGGATGCCCTTGCAGCATGTGCAGTGGTTGTAGTCTGTATTCCCTCAGCCTCACTTGAGTCAGAAGAGGCAGAAAGCTGAGAGCAGTTGGTTGCATTTTTACACCTGAGTGAATATATTACCTAATTGATTCTAAAAAGGATTACCTTAAAAAAAGGCTTTCCCATACTGATTAAGGAAAGTTCTATATTGATGCATTTATTTGTTTAATTCTAATATAATTCTAGGTAAGAATGGAGTGCCAGTGGCTGAGAACTTCCGACTGGAGCAAAGTACCATAGCAGATACAGTCCAACCGGGACAAGTGCGTGTTAAAACTCTCTATCTCTCAGTGGACCCCTACATGGTAGGTGATGGACTTAGAGCTAAGCCAGAATTGGTTTTTTAAAATAAATACCTTCAGCTCTGTACCTGTCATCATGTTTAGCACCAAAGTTACCAATTACAGAACAAATATGTGTCTAGTGTAACTTAATGATTGTATTCATTCTGATGGAGTTGTATTGGGGAAGGAATTTGGTATTTATATTCTTGGCATGTATATAGGAACAGGACTTTATTGGACCAGGAAGAGACTGTGAGCCCTGGTATGCCATTACAGATTTGTTTGTATCAGCTTTTTCTGAACTTGGCCTTTTTTATCTTCTTTTTTTCCAGTCATGCAAAATTACAGAAATCATGTGGTTGGAGAATTGTGGGTTGAAATGGAAGCGAAGGTAGAAGACCCAGACAGACACAGTCTGTAAAAGTTTGCTATAAAGAGAATTCCGATCATTTATTCCCTCCATAGACAGCGATAATACAAAAAAGCCAGTGTAGATTTCAAGAAAGTGCATTGAGCTTGGGAATTAAGGAAAAGTTTAAGAATCCTGAAATACTAGCTGTAGCTACAGGGGAAGCTGCAAAGAAAATACGTCACATTTCAATATGTTTCATTAAACAGATCTCTGTCAGAGATGGTTTACATATATTTGACTGCTCTTCAGTGCACAAGCATGGACTAAATGACTTGTAGGCATTTTTTTTCAATCCTGCATTTCTAGGTTTCCTCCAGTTGAGAAATGGCATTTGTAGGATTCTCATCAGACCCGAGCCTGTTATCGTCAGTTGTGCTCGTGCCTTTGAGCCAACATCTCTAGAATGTTGATAACATTGCTGGAGGAGATCAGGATGGTCCATACTCCTCTTGTACTGAGCAAACAAGAGGAAAGAGAGATCTAAGAAAAAATTATGGGTACTTGGGGCTTATTGAGAGATTTTTGAGTAGCCCTTTATGTTTGAAATTCTAAACACATCTTTATCACCCACTCATCTTGACCTGATGAACAAGTGGTGTTCGACCAGAGCCTTTCATTAAAGCCTTGTCTTTCAGCGCTGCCGGATGAATGAGGACACAGGCTCGGATTACCTGCAGCCCTGGCAGCTGTCTGAAGTTGCTGACGGTGGGGGCATCGGGGTTGTGGAGGAGAGCAAGCACCAGAACCTCGCTAAAGGAGACTTTGTAACATCCTTCACTTGGCCCTGGCAGACAGCAGCAATTCTTGATGGAGACTCTCTACAAAAGGTAATACAAATGCAAAGCCCAGGGTGTGACTGTTTTTTTCCTAAATCTTCTTTTTTCCCCCAAACCTCTTTTTTTCTTTTTTTTTTTTTTGTTTTTCCATAAATAGCTGCTGATCACACTATTTTTTTTTTTTTGTGAAAAACAAGCATACCTTATTGAAGCAATTAGTTCTCAAAATGCAGATCAACTCATAGGTGCCAAAATTTGTATCAATTTCTTTTTTTTATAACAATTTTGCTGGTTAACAGACAGGCCAGTATTATTTGAAAAAAAAAATTCCCTGAAGCTCCTTCAGTTAAAAATAACTCTCTTAATTATTTTAATTCTAATAGAACTTCTTGTTCATGAGAGTGTAACTATAAGACATGAAAGGCTTTAGGTATATTTAATTTATTTTTGTAACTTATGTTAGTAAAAGCTTTTTCTTGAGGTTTTACATTCATATAAGAAAGGGTATTCAGTATTAAGTGGAGAGATTTCAATGCATTAGGGATATTGTATTCATTGTTCTCTCATAACAGAAAATTACTATACTTTGAGAATTTATACTTTGCAATAAACTTCTTCCTTTAGGACTCTGTCACTCACCTGCAAACACTATATGTGATGGTGCATTTTTATCCTTTGTGCTAGCATAGGGTTAGTTCACCATTGCTGGAAACTTATCTCCCAACTGCTTTTTAACACTTCCATAATTTAAGTTTCTGTGAGTGACTTTGTTTAAAAAACTTCTTATAAAACTGTAGAGACATAACATTTTTGTACAAACTTGCTAGAATAGAGCTAGAGATAGCTTGTCCCTACCAGTTGTACCTTGCCTGGTAAATACCATGAGGTAGTTTTCTATGCTCAGGTACTCAAAGAGCAAAACCTCACCTTAGAAATAGATGACCTCCTACCAACATTTCTGTTCTGTAGCTGGTTCCACAGCTTGTGAATGGACGCCTTTCCTACTTTCTGGGTGCAGCTGGTATCACAGGACTGACGGCCCTGCTGGGAATCAGGGAGAAAGGACACGTGGCTGCGGGTGCAAATCAGACCATGGTGGTGAGCGGAGCGGCCGGCGCCTGCGGCTCTTTGGCCGGCCAGGTGGGTGTAGGCTTAGGGCATACACACATACTCTGTGAGTGAGTTCTGCCTTCTGAAACATGATGGTTATTAAACATACAGATAAAATCTTGGTAAACATGAGCAGCTATAGCCCCGTGAGAACAGCCAGTTTCACAATTTGGCACACTTTCACTGTGAAAGACTTGGGTATGAAACTCAAGTTTCATTAAATAAGGAGAGGAGAAAACAGATGGTGGTGATTACTTGTTGCTAGCACAAGTAAAATAGATGGTATATATACATGTATTTATTATACATTTATATGGTAGCCTGCCATCCCAACACTGTATTGACTGGAGACATTTTCTTTATTAGAAAATAGTAATGTGGTAAACCCTTTGTGCTGTGTGCCATGACATCCTTTGTGTTTTGAGATTTACAGTCCTTTTATCCTCCTCTGCTTTGCAGAACCTGTTTGCAGTGTGTATGTGCATATCTTCAAATATCTCTAGATATATATACAAACAAAAGCGATATTAAGCAAACTTTAGACGTACTAATAAAGAGAAGCTATGAAGAAATAATGCATGAGCAAATCTATGAAGATTGTATTTAAATCAATTATTGTCTAATTTTCTTTCCTTTTATTAGTTATGTCTAATAACAAACATAGTCTTCTGCAGTTAGTGAGTATGAAAAGATGGCAAATTTTGATTGTACCTGCCTCGTGTGTAGTTGTGAGGAGGGAGTGATAAGAGGCAGTTGTGTTACATGAGATGAGAGTGTTTGCTTTGTGGGGTTTAGAGGGATGGAAATAGCTGTAACACCCCTTAGGACCCCCTTCCTTCCATTTGTACTTTTATGCAGATGAATGATGTAATTTGTCTTTATTGTTTGGGGTTTTTGGTTGGTTCGTTTGGTTTTCTTTTTTTTAACTTTGTGCCTGCAGATTGGCCGTCTGGAGGGCTGCTCTAGAGTGGTGGGGATTGCTGGCACAGATGAAAAGTGCTCCATTTTGGTCAAAGAAATGGGGTTTGATGCTGCTATCAATTACAAGAAGGGGGATGTGGCAAAACAGCTACGTGAACTCTGCCCAGGTGGTGTGGATGTTTACTTTGACAATGTTGGTGGAGACATCAGTGATGCAGTTATAAGTCAGGTGATTATTCCAGCTGTCAAGTTTATTCTAGTAATTCTCTAGGGTCTGCATGCCTAGCTTTCAATTAATTCTTAGTGGAGTCCAGCCTATAATACAGCACAGCAGGCTTTCTACTTCAGTGATCAACTTCAGGTACTGGTCCTGGGGGCCCACAGTAAAATAACAATTTCCTATATTCCTTCTGTTTAGTGTCTTTTTAAATTACACTAGGCTGTATAGCAGTTATTTTTCCACTATTGCCTTGCATTTTTACCTGTTTGATTGTTATAGATTGAATGGGACTGCATGCAATTCTCACACTCTTTTATAGGAGGTGTGGCTAATGAAAATTTAGCAATAATTCTGTTGCATCTGAAAAATTCAGCGTCTGAGACTGAGGAATGTAATTTTTCTCACTTTATGCTGTCCCAAACAGATGAATCAGAACAGCCATATCATCCTGTGTGGACAGATTTCTCAGTATAACAAAGACGTGCCTTATCCCCCTCCACTGCCTGCTGACATAGAAAAAATACAGAAAGAAAGGAACATCACAAGGTATATTTCTCCTCCAGAACTTGTGACCAGTTCCAGGTAGATTGTTCATATGATGTCTGGAAGGTAATCTGCAGTAGCTACTTGTAATCGAAACAGAATGTTGCCATGCCTGAAAAGGAAAATATAATCATGATATCAGTAGATCCTTTCCCTTACATTTGTCTTTATCAGCATAAAAATTGGGAAAGCTTGTTGTTATATAGAATCATGGATGTCAGTTGTTACATTTTGTTTGATTTGCTTGATTTAGTCCTGCAATCCCTGACAATTCTTTAGTACAAGGGAAGGTGTTGCTATAGTTCTGTTCTCAGATGTTTTACAAAGTGCCTTCTCTCAAAATGTTGTAGTTCAGGCATAAAGATACATCTGATGCGATGATTTTATTGAAATTACCTTTTTAGTATTTGAGGCTTTATTAGATAGTGGAACTGTAGGTGTGACAGATATATATGGGTAAAACATTTTTAATATGTTCTGACTCTGGGAATTGCTGAATTTCCTCTTAGGATTCCGATGAGCTAAGGCAGAGATTAGGAGGAGAGTCTTAGACTTTTCAGTCATTGCATTATGGGACATTTGGGAGACTTGATTTCTGTGCAAATCAGTTCTCTCTCTAATTAAAATATTTTCTTGTCCCTGTTATGTTGTCTGCTCTTTTAAAAAATGGATAAAATTAGTAAAATACACCATGCATAGTAGAATGCAGTAGAGAATTTAGTCAGTATATTCCTGCCAGTAATTATAATTTTTGATGATCATTTCTATTTCTCTGTTGCTATGGCAAGCTGTGATAGCAGGATATGCAGAATTGTGGGGAGCCTGAAAGTTGTCATTCTCACCATCTAGTTGCAGGATCGCTAATTATTCTCCCTACCACTGAAAAAATAAAAAGTAAAAAATAATTTGAATTTGCTCACATTTTATGGATATTTACTTATTCTGGCCATACTACTTTACTACTGGATTTTTATTACTCTTCTTTCTCTGATACTTGAAGAAAATTATCTAAACTGATGTTACTGTCAAGCTCCCACTGCAGGAAATTTGAGCTATATTTCTTTAATTCGTGCTCATAACCCCTCAGTTTCAACAAGGCTGTTTCCTGAAAAGATTTTAAAAGATTCTCAATTACATTGACCAAGCTTTCTTAAACCAAAGCTCATTCTTTTCTTTCACAGGGAAAGATTCTTGGTGTTGAACTACATGGACAAACAAGAAGCTAGTGTATTACAACTCTGCCAGTGGATCCAAGAGGGTAAATTGAAGGTGAGAACTTCTAGGTTTAATCTGTGGCCTTTGATACTGTTTCCTACTACAAGAGGACTAATTTCTTTGTCTCTGACTCTCTTACTGTGCCTCAGGATTGAACAGACCTTTTAAAAATGTGCAAGTATAATTGAAAGCTTGTTAGTTCACACTGTTTTAAAAGGTGCCTGCTGAGGATGGTCTGACTGTTCTATGACAGACTTCTCTGATTACATGCTGCTCATGTCTGTATTCTTTGTTTCAGCATAGGGTGCTGAAAAGTGCCTTTTTACTTAAAGATTCAGACTTCCAAAAATAATGTACGTTCAAATACCTGAGGAGTCAAGTGTCCTGAATGGTTTTGAGGATCTTGTTGGAAATTTTCCTTCAAGCTTTATAATAACCATTTATTACTTTGTAATGAGTATATGCTTAACCATGATTTCCTGTGAGGTCTGTCTGAATTACCTTTTATTTCTTCATGTGGCCAGTAATATTCCTGGGAAAATACCAGGACATTATATTTTGCTAGGGGTAGGGATCTGATTGAAGAATTAAATCACCTGCAAATTTATCAGAAAATATTCACGCCTCTCTTGATGAAGGAATTTGGTCCAAAAAGTGCCCTGTCCATTGCAGTGAGAGAAGTCTTTAGATTTTGGTGGTTTCTATGGCAGATTCTTGGCATGTTTCTAAGAAATGTGAAGTGCTGCTCTTGTTTGAGGAAAACTGAAAGGACTTGTTTGCATTGACAGGTCAGAGAGACCGTGGTGGAAGGCTTAGCAAACATGGGTGGTAAGATATTTACATCATTTTTCAAGAATAATAACCTGATTATATACAATGACATTAGAGGTTAACTACCTCCTTTGTTTCATTTGTATTTTATCAAAAACACTATTTTTATGTTATAATAATTTTTTTTACTAATTATTAAAATGTTCTGTAAGATAATTATTGTATATTTAAAAATCATTGAATATAAATTTAGATTTTTTTTTTGGTTGTTGTTGTTCTAGTACTAAGGGGAATTTATTCTTAACTGCTACCTTAGCAGCTGGTGATAGTCATCCTGATCTTAGAGGTTTAAAGTGGTGTCCCTTACTTTGAATTTGTGAGTAAGGAAATGCATTTTTTAAATCCTTGAACTTATATTTTTAAAAATGCAATATCTAACAGAGATTGTTATTGGATTTGCTAACAAAAAAAAATAAAATGAAAAGTACACAGAAGAAAGGGCAAAGCATATTACCCAAGAAAATGGAAATTAATTTATTTTAATAGAACAAAATGTTCTGTAGACCATTCAAAGTATCTGTAACAAAATGTTGTAACAAAAGAAATAAAAAATGAAGGGGGTTTGGTGACATGAGCTATGTGATCCAAGATATGTTGTAAGAATACTTCCCTTTCAAGGAAGAGGGAGGAGTATGATTTAGTCCATAAGATTGAAAACCAGTAGAATTAAGTGATAACTAAATCTTATAGATTTCAACTCATTCTAGTCATTGCTAATTCCTCCTTACTGGTATACATATGTATTTTGAAGTAACTTGGTCAAATACATCAGTCATATATTATACTTATCTACTTTGTTTACTCAAAGGTATATTCTTTTGTACCAGCTTCTCCCACTATTGTGCAATATTTAAAACCTTTCCTTTCACAAATGTTTGTGTGACCCACAGCAGTTGTGGGCTGTCCAGTAATGCCTTGTCTCTCTTTGCTGTTTGCATGACATCACAAAAACAGCAAATGTAGTTGTTAACTTGTATAGGATCAAACAGTTGCTTACAGATTTTTTTTTTAAATTATTACATAAAGTTGTCCTTAGCAATTTATTACAGGCTAGCTTTTTTTTTTTTTCTTTTTAAATCCCCCTTCTTAATTTAGCACATCATTAAGGATAATTATGATTAGGTCCAAGGTGGTATCTCTCCTTTTTTGGGAGCTGCTTGATATATTTGTTTCTACCATTTTTGATTTCTTTGTTAGAAACTACTTGGCTTGTTTTGCTTGGCACTAACTTATTTCATTATTTCTCTTGAAGCTGCTTTCCAGTCCATGATGAGTGGAGGCAATATTGGAAAACAGATCGTCTCAGTTTCAAAGTAAAATCAGTGGTTCAAGAAAAATAATTGCATTCTGTCTCTAACAGTGGGCAAATTTTTACTTACACTAATTTCCATTTCTTAAATGAACCATTAGGTTGTTCTGTATGTACTGAAAGCAGAGATTTTTGGATGCTAATAAATTAAATTGAACTGGAAACAGCAATGCAATCATTTATACTTGAAATGAGTAATACGTTCTTGACGTGATTTTGACAGTTGCCACCTACACTTGCAAATATTTAATGGGTGTGGTTTGAAAGAACATCCTGTGTTGTCCCAAGCACGGCTCATCACCTGGTTGGTGTGTGACAGCACTTCACACACCAAGATGAGGAGTTCCTATTTCTTTATTGTATTCTGTGCAAACTAGGAAATTAGGGGGCAATCCACAAAAGTGTGGCTCATCATCATCAAAACTTTACACTATTTGCACATTTTAGCAAACAAAGTCATCAGCATTTACTGGTTACAATTGATATAGCTTTTTTATTAATTAGTACTCAGACCCTTATTTGTCAGTTCTAGCTCTTGCTTCTCATGCTAATTATTCCACGTGTGCACTTCTCCCTCCCATTCCATTTGGGGATTTGGGGATCTGTTTTAACTTGGTGGTAAGGGAGTTGGTGGTTGCCATCTCCCCTGCCAGGATTACTTTCCCCCCAATTACTGCTCAGTGCTGCTGACTTCACTCTGGGGCTCTCGTCCAGACAGCCATTTATTTTGGGATTCTGTTCCTTTTTTCTTAAAACAAAGCATTAGCCATGACTACAATTGCTTAATCATAACTGCCTAGCTATAGCTACTGATGAACAACAAAAAAGCTGCAAAGTTTGATTCAAATCTTGAGGGAGTAAATATCACAATATTTGCTGAAGAGCTACTCCAGAGTTAGCTCATCCCTGGCACTGTAAGTTGACACACCTTCCAGGAGTCCTCTAAACAGTTACTTTTCACAACTGGAACAAAATATAAAATTATAACATTCCCAGCACTATTATTTTGATAGGAATTGCTTAGTAATCCACACAAGTAAGGAGTCTATTAAGAGCTGTGATGTGAGGGGTGATTCAGAGTGAGATCATGCTGAGATACTGATTCCTTACCATAATAAAGGCAGCTTGATTGCAGTAGCATTCCGGTAGTTAGGTAAGCTATGGAGGGCAATACAGGTTCTAGCAGCATTAGTCAAATGTTAAGAGAAAAAGATAGGGACAGGCAAAGTAAATCTCACCCTGATATTCCCAGTGTTTACTGTTCTCCCAGAAGTGTTCCTTTGCTTGTAAATCCTGGTTCATGTCACCTCTTAAAAATAAAAAGCCAGAGGGAGAAGATTCTTTAAATCAAGTGCCATCAGTTATAAAAAATACTGATTTTTTTTTTCATCTTGTCCTAATTTCTTAATATTTATAATAGCATGGCTCTTCAGTTATCATATATTTTCTAGTGTGAGAGGTGTCATTTAACAAAGGGTGACAAATAACTGGTAACAAAAATCCAATATGCTTTGGAAGTCACTTTTCATGGTAATTAATCCACATGCTCAGTCTTTCTCTTCTTTTGGGTTGGTGGGTTTCCCATGTCAGAATTACTTTTATCCAGTCAGATCCAATTTCAGCACAGTTGCTGAGTTGTCTTTATTAGTTTCTTCTTTATCTTGGGAGTTCTGCTAGATGTCCTCGTGCCCTGTAAACTCTGTATTCTTTGTGTCCTCTGTCAGTAGTACATTCTCCCCAAGCTTTGCTAACCTCTCAATATGCCTGAGACCCAGCATGTCAAGCCCTAAACTTTAAGGAGCCCAGCAAGTACTTTGTCTTTCTAACACCTGGGCATCGCTTAGAGCTTGCTTGTTAACTGCTATCTGTTTTATGGGTTATATCTTCTTTCTGAAAATATGTAAGTATCAAATATCAAAGAACATCCTTTCTTATGAAAATTTTTACATATTTCACATTTTGCAACAATAAGGCAGGACCCTGTTTTGTAGCCCCCTCTTGATTCCCTGTAACTCTCTGGGCAAATGGTTAATTATTTCTGTCTCTTGAGATCAGCATCATAATCAGTCTCTTCCATTTTATCTCATTGTTTTGGTTTCCCTTTATTGCATTCCATGTTTTTTAGATCAAGCTGTTCTCCTTTTCCCAAAACCAGACCCATACATCTATTTCTTATCTCCATCAACACAGCTGGTGGTGTCCCTCAAACAGGGTTCAGTACAAAGCATATGTGCAAAGGTGTGCAAAGCCAGTATTTGGCCCAGAGCCAAGATATTTGGTTTATTTCATGTTTGCACCAAGATGGGTGCTAGGTAGTAATTCCACAAAGCCAACTTGGAATGCATGCATATTTATACATTTCAGATTTGCCTCTCTCTCTAATACATACTCATTTTCACTCATAATTGACTGGCTTCATTTTTGCTAACTAGGTCTACATGTGCATAACTGCTCATCTTTTGAGTCAGTGGGTTTCTTGGGTCCATGGTCATGATCTCTCACTGCCAGAATTACTTTTTTTCTAAGGACACCATTTCTGAGCCAAAGCAGTTCATCATCTTGTTTACCTTGTTGATTTAAGATGGGCCTCTTAGAACCTATTGGCTGGAGTCCTTGTTTCTTTGTTTCTCTACTAATCTCTTTAGGTCATCTTGACTTTCTGGCATAATCCAGCAATTTTTCCATGTACACTGAACAGCATCTCTTGTAACTCATACAGCACTGGCACAACTTATAGGAAACAAGTACAGTCTTTTATACAAAAAGGTGTCAAGGAAAGAATCATACAAACACTGCTCAATAGTCACTCATGCTTAATCACTGGTGCCTGTGACAAAATTCCTAATGCACACGTGCAAATCTTGGTCCAGTTCATTATATTATTATTTACACAGACACATTTTCCTAGGGGGGGTGTCTCTGAGTATTACAGTAATCTAAGGTAATTCTAAGTTATATTTTCCTTCTATCAGCTATCAAGTTGCTATTTAACCTCATGTTCTCTTACGGTTTCTGCTTGAGCCTCTTTGAAAAATTGGTTAACTAAATAAGGATTTATAGTATTCTGTTCCTGGGGCCTCTTCACATAGCATTCCTTTCCTGAAGACTCTTCACTGCTCCATTACTCCAGCCCCCATTGTCATGGTTTCAAAACTGACCTACAGCTTCTAGGGGCTTTTTGTCAACTTGTATGCATTTCTAGCTTCATGTGACATCATGACCACAGTAAGAAAGTTCAGCTACAATCTTTATAAATAAGCATTTGCAAAGGGTAATAAAATGTAAACAGTATTGGACAGAGATACCTTTTTTTCTTATTTTTGATTAAGCCAATCTTCTGCTTTGTATTTATTAGTCTCGTGCATTCCCATTTCCATCCTCTCTCCCTTTGTACCTTTAAGTATTGCTGTTGTCTGCCCTAAATTTCACCTTCTTCCCTTCAATTTTAATCCCTTTCCTGTATTTTTGGTTGGTTTGTCTGGGTTTTTGTTTGTTTGGTTTGGTTTTTGTTTGTTTTTGTTGTTTTGGTTTGTTTTTTTTGTTTTTTTTTTTTTAGTTCATCTTGTTTCTTGTCCTCCTTTTTGGCTTCTTCATTGACAATGAGAAAACATGGGGTTTTTCAAGACCACTGTTAATGTTTAGAGCTAAGATGTGCAGTTAAATGTGAGGATTTCATGCAAAATGTCACCAACACCATGAAAAGACCTTTCCAGCCCAGACATAAATGTTTCTTACTGCAGTTTATAGTAGCTATTGTTACGAAAGTGAAGAGACCTGAGGCAGATGCCTTTCAAATAGCTTAATCTCTTCATTCAATATTTTATTGCATTGATTGTGGAAGAAGAAAGTGCAGGATTACTTAGTCCTGTTTCTAACGTTGCTCTTCTCTTTTGCTATACTACCTTTTTTTTTACTGGCTTCTCTTCACAGGGGGAAATGTTTATATAATCCATGAACATACTACCAGGAGAGAAAAGATCACAGACAGATGGCATTATCCCACAATTAGAAATGGTAGCAGCAGCTGGAATAAGCTTCAAACTGAGAAAATACTTTGTGAGACAACTCAGAAATCTTCAGGAAAAGCACAGAAAGAAGCAGAAATGAGACATGATGTTTTAGCCACACTAACACAGAATTATAGAATTATAACCAGAAGAATAGATTCAAAATAGTAAGATAAAAACTATTGAAATTTGGTTTTACTGCAGTCCTCTGGTCTGGTTAGAGCGATTATCAAGTGCTTATGCACTCTTATTGAGTGCTGTGTGTGCAGCAGACCCTATTCTCTGCAAGACAGCCAGCAGGAACCAAGAAACAAGGCTCCAGTGAGGAGAAGTGAGAAGAAGATGACTTCATAAATCCACGAGATGAGTGCAAAGCATAGGAGGATGGCTCTATAAATCCAGTAAACGCGGAGATAACACAGGAACAACTGCTGCATAAGGCCAAAGAAGTTTGCTTGACTTTTGTGCTAACCTTTAGTCATTAACATAGTAAAATATAATCCCATCAGCCACTTTCCCCTAGAGCATGGGTGGCAAAATAAATGAGTAGTGTGTCTTTAAATGAAGGCAAGGAAATATATAACCAATGAGTGCAGGGGGAATGCTGCTGGGGTTGGGATATATAAAAGCAGGTACTGGCAGTGGCAGGTGTGCCAGCTCTGTGGATCCACCACTCAGCACCCGCTCTGCACACAAAGGAAATGGGAAATGCACCTCTCAACTCTGTGTCCATCGGCTTCTTGCACATGTGGTGGGAGAACCCATAGCTGGAACAAGAGGAGCTTTGGTGGCACAGCCACAGAGCTGGATTGTCCTGCTGTCCCGGCAGCAGCCAGTCAGATAGGACAGGTCTGCAGTGTGCACCAACCCTGTGATCAGGGACCCCATGGAATCCAGCACCCAGAAATGTATTTGAGGAAGCCAAAGGGGGTTGTATGTGAGCTTTCTTGGACCCCCAGAATTTTCTAGATTGGTAAGTGCACTTTTGTTTCCATTTTGTTCTATTTCTTCTTAAAAAAAATAAAAATTCAACCTCCACGTAGCCACACATGAATGCTCAGTGTGAGGGCTTAATCAATCAGTGGATTCAAGTGGTATGCAGTGCAGAGACTATTGGTGAGGCCAGCTAAGGGTAAAAGTATTGGGCAACATTATATTT